AATTATCTTTTGATAATTAAATTTAATGATTGAATGGTGAACCTTAGTATGTATGTTCACCTGCTCAGATATACCAAAGCATTGACCCTTTAATACAGAAACCTTATTTAGATGGTCTATGAGAATTCACTAAGCCAGATATATATATTTAGAAAAAAATGGATCTTAGAAATATAAATAACTACATCTTCCTTTGCCCCTAGGCTATTCTACACCTGGACTTGTGTCATAAATCTATTCTGATATATCAGTAGAGATGGCGATACCATACTCTCCATCCGTCATTTACCCTCATAGCACGTACCGTCCTCTCCTCTTTGTCAGTGATCATCTTTACCTAAACCCAGTTTCTTTCTTGTAGTTGCTATTATTTTTTATAATAATTTTTTTTAACTCTACATGTTTTCATACCTTTTTCTATTATGGCATATTACATGATAAAGAACGTTGAAAAAAAGTAACTTGGAGAGTTTTACATGTTTTGAGATGCTATGTTGAGAAAGAGTGATATTCAAGGAGGTACAGTTTCTGTATCCTGGTCTGTATTTACAGTGCTTCTCATTTATAATTCTCTTGGCAATCTGATATTATTGTCTCTGAAACAGAAGTTATATGGTCAGGAAGAAGTGAGCACACAAAGGAGAACATTTCCTCCTAAGTGCTTTAATATTGGCTGAAATGTTTGCACACCTGTGGAGGTTTATCAAGTCATCAAAATCCCTGGGATTATGTACAAATTACGCCTAAGTAAATTATGTGTTCCGAAGTAAGTTATAGTTTAACCTTAAATAAAAAGTTGTATAAAACAATTGTTAATCTCAAAAAAAAAAAAAAAAAGCTCACCCCACTATTTTCATAAATATCACTCTTGGAGTAGCCACGAGTCAAGTAGGGGAGGGAATTAATCCCAACTTTGAACTGAAAATCAGGCCCTCAGAAATTTGGAGATGTCTAAGGGATGTTTATGGTTCAAGTTGAACTTTTGCCAAGTTAACATATTCATTTTCGATCATACATTTATGCTTTCAAGAAACATTTATTGAGCAGATATTATATATTAGTCATAGAAAATACTCTCTCCTTAGGGAATTTATAGTCTAGTGTAGACAGTTGATTGCACATTCAGGTGAGGAACCTAACGTAGAGGGTGGGATGGAAGGGAAGACAGTGTTAGAGAAGGCTACATGGAAATTGGGACATCTGTACTCAACCCTTAAGACCTGCAAGTGGGAGGAGTTACAGGGAGGAAGAGAATTAGCTGGAGCAGAATGTGCAAAGGGCAATAGGCAAAAATGATGCAGTAAGAGTACTTCAAATAGTTGAGGATAGCTAGAGCATAGTGTTCTACGGGAAAGAGGCCAGAGGGAGACTAGTAAGCAACAGCCTGGTTTGGGTACTATACTAAGGAATTTTGACTTGATCCTGAAGACTGGAAGGAGTATTTGAAAGATTCTTAAGTAGAGGAGAAGGGAGTTACATAATTAGGTTTGAGCTTAAAGATCATCCTGCTTATAGTGGGAAAAGCTATACTGGGAATAAAATTATTTTTTAATGTATTGCTGGACCCTTGGAAAGTAAAGGAAATCTTCAAGGGCCCCCAAATGCCAACAATAAAATCTGAGAGGTGAGCAATAAGCATGAAAACCAGATTGCCCTAGGGCAAAGGACCAGATCACTCCTGAAATTCAGGGGTGGTGTGGTCAGGAATGAACTTTGACCTGAATCAAGTGGGGAAGCTAGGTTTAAATGCGGTCCTAGTTGTATGGACCCTCCCCCGGCCCCTGGCTCTGAGCAGAAGCAAATGCAGATCTTCCTCTCTGGAGGAAGATATCTTCAACTTAGGCCTCCAGAATCTCACAAATTCACAAAAATTAAATATGGATCACTTAATCAAAGAACATCAAACATACAAAGAAACAAACTACCATGAGAAAGAATCAGCAAAAATAACAAATAATAGACTTAGTTTTCTAAGAACCTCAGATGTTAAAATAATTAATATAAAATATCTATCACATTTTTAAAGAAACGAAAGAATAAAAAATGAACAGCAAAAATAAATGATCACATAGAACTCCAATAACTCAATAAAAAGAAAGCAACTCTGTCAAAAAATGGACAAACAACTAGAATACACATTACTGCAAAGAAGATTTACAAATGGCCAACAAACACGTGAAAATCTGTTCGACATCATTCATCATTAGGGAAATACAAATCAAAACCACAATGAGATACCACTTCACACCCACTAGGTTGGCTATTATTTAACAAAAAAAAACAAGGAAAATTAGTGTTGGTGAGGATGTGGAGAAATTGGAACCCTTGTCCATTGCCGGTAAGAATGTAAAATGGTGCAGCTGCTGTGGAAAATGGTTTGGAAATTCTTCAGAAAGTTAAACATAGAATTACCATAGCGCCCAGCAATTCTATGTATATACTCAAAAGACTTCAAAGTAGGCACTCAGATACCTGTACACCAGTGTTCATTGCAGTATTATTTGCAAAAACCAAAGGGTGAAAACAACCCATGTGTCTATCACAGATGAATGGATAGATAAAATGTGGTATGTATGTACAATGGAGTATTATTCACCCATAAAAGCAGTAAATTAATACATGCTTTGACATGGATGAATCTTGGAAACATAATGCTGAGTGAAATAAGCCAGATACAAAAGGACAAATCTGATCCCTTTTATATGAAATATATATAGACACAAAAAGTAGGTTAGTGGTCACCTTGGGCTGGAGAGAAGGGGCATGGGGAATTATTGCTTAATGGATACAGAGTTTCTGTTTGGAGTGATGAAAAAGTTTTGGAAACAGTAGTGATAGTTACATAACATCGTGAGTCCAGTTCATGCCACTGGGTTGTACAGTGGAATTCCTTTGTTTAGAATGCCCTTTCAAAGAATAGGTAGAATTTGGATAGTTTCCCTCATCTGGAAACTTGAAAATGGTTAAAATGGCAAATTTTATGTTGTGTATGTTTTTATCACAATTAAAAAAAACATGATCACAGATGGCCAGGCAAATTTGAAGAAAAACTAAATAGAACCTTTAGAAATGTAAAATTATTGAAATAAGAAACTCAACAGATGAGTTAGTCTAACGTATTAGATACAGATGAAGAAAGAATTAGTAAATTGGAAGGCAGATGTGAAATAACTCACCAGAAAACAGTCCAGAGAACAAGGGAACGGGAACTAAAAGAGAGGTTAAAATAAGAATAAAAAATGGAGGAGAACCAAAATTCTTAGAGATAAGGGCTCAGAATTGTTGAGACAGCTGCTGACAACAACAGTGAAAGAAAGGGATTCACAAATACCAGAAGCACAACGTATTCCAAACAAGATAAATAAATTCACAGAGTCAAGTTGTAGTTAAACTGCAGAACACCAGGAGAGAAGATCTTAAAGGACCAGGGAAGAAAGATCACCTATAGAGAAACGGCAATCAGTGCGAATGATAGATTTCTCATTGCAACAATGGAGGCCAGAAGAGGGCATGATACCTACAATGTGATAAGAGAAAACTGTAAACCTAGAATTTATGTCAAAACATATCTTTCAAGAATGAGGGTGAAATAGAGACGTTTTAGATAAACAAAATAGAGTTTGCCTCCAACAGACTTCCACTAAAGGAGATTCTGCTTTAGGAAGAAGGAAAATGGAACCAGAAGGGAAGTCTGAGATGTAAGAAGGAATGGTGAGCAAAGAACTTGGTAAGCATCTGAGTAAGTCTAAACAAGCACTAGCTGTATAAAATAATAATAATGATGTCTGATTTGTGAGAAGGAAAAAAAGACAAAATATTGGACAACTAGGAGAGTTGTTAAAATATTGACTAATTTTTTTTTAATTTTTTTATTGTACTTTAGACGAAGGTTTACAGAACAAATAGTTTTTCATTAAACAGTCAGCACACATATTGTTTTACGACATTGGTTAACAACCCCACAACATGTCAACACTCTCCCTTCTCAACCTTGAGGACCTTTTTTTTGGTGAAAATATACATATGTTGACTAATTTTTTAAATAAATTAGCTTTGGGGAAAATTAATAAATTAGTCATGCATGCTAAATTTCAAGAACAACTTCTAAAAGAAAAGAAAGCATGCATAACTTCCAAACCAGCGAAGAGGAAAATGAAATTAAAAATTTATTAGCCACTGATTATTGTGACTTCCGTCATGTTACATAACTTCTGTAAGCCTTAGTTTCTTCATCTTTAAAGTGCAGATAGTAGTCATACCTCCTATAGGGTTGTTATGAGGATTTAATCAGATAATGCAATAAAAAACCTTAACACAAATATAGTACATAATGTGTAGTAAATATTACTAAATGTTTTCTTACATATGTACATACATACATATGTAAAATATATCTATATTTATTACATATATGTAATTTCCATGGATATATATTTCATATATACACACACACACACACATATTCCTATTTAATCCTTACAGCAAACTTAGGAAGGTAGATCTTAGCATCCTCATTTTTCAGATGAGGAAACTGAGCTTCGGAAGGGTTAAGTAGCATACCCAAGGCACTTCAGCAGTCGGTGGCGGGGATGGATTTCTCTATGCCACCCAGCTGGCAAGTAGTACATATCTAAGAGGAATAAAATGTTCAGATTATTTATACTTTTGTCTACCTGACTTGTTCATACTGCACTGAAATTTAGGGTTTCATGGAAACAGATTTCAAAGCCAGAATTCCTCTCAAAAAATAAAACTTGACACGCCCATTATTAGCTAACAGCAGAACATAGGAATCCATTAAATCGCTTGAAGTCAGGCAGAAACTCCTGTTCTGGGAGATTAAGGGGATTCAAGAGACATTCTGTTCTGTTTTTCTGTCCTCTGAGTTCACATAGTGTGATGTGAAATGAATCAAAACGAACTGGACCATCCTTGGGGTGTTTGCTGCAAGGCAGATAGCTTTCAGAGCATACCTTCTCTTTTCTTCTCTCCTTTTCAAGGGTTATACATCTTTCTGGAATGACTGCATCTCCTCGGGCCTGCGAGGGGGCATCCTGATAGAACTGGCCATGCGGGGTCGGATCTCTTTGGAACCCCTCACCATGCGTAAGAAGAGACTACTGGACAGAAAGGTACAGAAGCCCCTGTGACAGCCTCTTGTGGAAGGGCAGATACCAACAGTCCATTAGCACTATTGGAAGAACAGGAGTATTTGAGCAATGAGACAATCAAAATATCACCGTCTCAGCTGTCCCACTGACTACACCAAACGAAAAGCGAACCCCTTGTCGTCGAGTCGATTTCAACTCATAGCGACCCTGTAGGACAGAGGAGAACTGCCCCCATAGGATTTCTAAGGCTGTAAATCTTTACAGCAGCAGACTGCCACGTCTTTCTCCCACAGAGCAGCTGGCGGGTTCGAACCGTTGACCTTTTGGTTTACAACTGAGCACTTAACCACTGAGCCACAAGACTCCTTATCCCATTGTCTGGACAAGAATATTTATCTTATAGCGAAGGGGAAATCTAAGTACCAGGAGTCTAGAGTTCTAAGAAGTTCATGTTTTTGTCTTCCTTTTTTTTATGCAGAAAAGTCACATTTAAGATGCATGCTGTGAATTATTTCTCCTTCTATGTTTATAGCTACACCATTATGAAATAGAGGCTTACATAGAAGGAGGCATATATGTGGGTTATACTAAAGTTTAAGTTTCTTGAGGACAGGGACAGTACTTTATGTTTCGTTGCATTTCCTGCAACACCTAACCACTAATGTGTATGTGATTTGCTGGGAGATTTTAACTTGAATGAGTTGAATGGATCAGGATCCCTTGTTTCTTTCTTCCTGAAAGGTACTGGTAAAGTCAGACAGCCCAACAGGTGATGTCTTACTGGATGAGACCCTCAAGCACATTAAAGCAACGGACCCCACAGAAACTGTCCAAACGTGGATAGAGCTACTTACCGGTAAGGTAATTCCAAACGTATTCCATGCTTTGTTACCTTAAACCCACCCTTCAAGCTGAAAAAAGAACTCTAGAAGTTCAGGGTGCTGAGTAAGATCTATATGGTCCCCTATTTAACTGTCCTAAAGAGAGACAGAAGAAGCGTGGCTCATCAATACCTGTAGTTTTCCATAAGGTTTTCATTGGCTGATTTTCAGAAGTAGGTTGCCAGGTGTTTTTTCTTAGTCTGTCTTAGGAAGCTTTGCTGAAACCTGTCCACCATGGGTGACCCTCCTGGTATTTGATATGCCAGTGGTATAGCTTCTAACATCACACGGACGGGACCGTGAAGGGGCAGTGACTGGGCAGTGACTGGGCAGTGTTTCATGCTGTTACGCACGAGGTCACCGTGAGTCAGAGCCAGCATGACAGCAGCTAACGACAGCAACCAAGTTCTCCCCCCGGACGCTCTGTTAACCCAGAACTAAAACCATTCCTGAAGCCCACTCTTCAGACCAAGATTAGACTGGACTATAAAATATAAAAAATACTCACGAAGAGCGTGCTGCTTAGTTCAAGCAGATGTTCGAGACCCAATGGGTGGCTTCTGTCGGGAGGCAGGATGAGAAGGCAGGAAGGGACAGGAGCTGGTTGGATGGACACGAGAAACCCGGGTGGAAAGGGGGAGTGTGCTGTCACATTAGAGGAACTGCAACCAGTGTCACATAACTGTGTGCGTATAAATTTTTGTATGAGAAATTAACTTGAGCTGTAAACTTTCACCTAAAGCACAATCAGATAAATAAATAAATAAAGGATAATCACTTTCCCATTGTGAAAATTTAACCTACAGCCATCCCAGTAAGATGAATAACCAGTTTTGTCTGTGGTTAGTCTCAGAGAAGTGGCATCCTTACAGTGTACCATCTGCCTGCTTAGCTGTAAAAAATCCTCTCCAACCTTACATACCTTCAAACTATACCCTATACCTCTCCTCCCTAGAAAAATTTCTAAAGAGTTCTACATATTGCCTGTGATAGGCAGAATAACGGCCCCTTAGAGATGTCCACATCTGTGGTGGATAGAATAGTGGCTCCCAGAAGGCTATATCCAAGACCTAACCCCAGGAACCTGTAAATGTGGCCTTATTTGGAAAAAGAGTCTTTGTCGATATAATTCAGTGAAGGGTCGTAAGATGAAATTATCCTGGACTTTGAGAGGGTCCTAAATCCCATGACAAGTGTCCTCATAGTGGAAAAGCAGAGGGAGATGTGGGAGGCAGAGACACAGAGGGGAGGCCCATGTGAAGACAGAGGCGGAGATTGGTGGTGTGCTGCCACAGCCACGGAATGCTCAGAGCCACTCAGAGCTGGAAAAGGCCAGAAGGATTCTCCTTTAGAGCCTCCAGAGGGAGCGTGGCCCTGCTGACAACTTCTTTACCGATTTCTGGCCTCCAGAACTTAGAGAGAATACATTTCTGTTGTTTTAAACCACCAAAAAGAAAAAAAGCTTTCCAAAGCTTCACCTTGCCTTCAGCCATCCCACCCACTAAGCTCTTCAACAGTATTCTTCACAAGAAACGTCTTTAACATCTTTATGGAGATAAAATTCACATCACATACCCATTTAAAGTGTACGACTCAGTGGCTTTTAGTATGTTCACAGAACTGTGCAACCATCTAAACAGTCTTAAGTTTAGGACGTTGCCATCAATCGACAAAGAAACCACGTACCCATAAAGGAACCACTTACCCATAAAGGAACCACTTACCATAAAGGAACCACTTACCCATAAAGGAACCGCGCACCCATAAAGGAACCACTTACCCATAAAAGAACCGCGCACCCATAAAAGAACGGCGCACCCATAAAGGAACCGCGTACCCATAAAGGAACCGCTTACCCATAAAGGAACCGCGCACCCATAAAGGAACCGCGGACCCATAAAAGAACGGCGCACCCATAAAGGAACCGCGCATCCATAAAGGAACCACCCATAAAAGAACCGCGCACCCATAAAAGAACGGCGCACCC